TAATCATTCCTTAATTGAAAGATTGTGTTAACTTTGTTTCAGGTGGAAATTAGATCTTCAGCTGGCTTTCTGAAATATTTGCTAAGACCCAACCCAAGTCATTGTTCTCAAAGAATAGCTCACAAAGGAAACTGCAATAAATTAGATTTAATATCTGGAACATTCTGTTTTTCAAGAAAATGGTTTGTTTATAAAAAATGTTTTATGAACATTGTAATGAGGCTCACACTCTGGCCTGAAACGGCTTGTGAAAACTCACTGAAGTGCCATTTGCCAAATAAGACTGGGAAATAATTTTGTGTGGGTAAATAAAGCACTGAAGAAACCTGGGGAAGGATAACATATTTTCTCTGACAGAAGAAATAGTCTCTTTCTTACGGCCAGAATCTACAGTAAATGTAAATCTACATTTACACCATAATGAATTGGCAACTATTGCCTAAGCGCTCCAGAAAAACCTAAATGGGCAAAAATAGTTTCAGTAAAATCAGCTCTGTTTTTAAATAACTACCAAACGTATTAAGCAGTCCCCAATCACCTCAGGGCAGCATGGCATGCCTGCCTTTACTCTGTACTCCCAATGGTAAGGGCTGTACTCCCCTCAGAACTTCCCCAAGCAGGGGCACTCTGCAGTACATGGCAAGCCCTCTCTGTGCCACAGACCCTTCAGACAGGGGCCAGCAAAGGTGCACATAGGGGAAGGTTTGATCTGTCACTGAAGAGCTGCCACTGTGATGGTTCTTCTGGGAAGAGGAGAATCAGCTCCCTGCCATTAAACCATGCAGACAAATGCTGAGCCAAACAAGTCTCTTGCAGCAGACTGGCAGCCTTGTGGTGCAAGGTACAGAAGTGTTGAAAACCTCTCAATGGCACAGGCACAAAGAGATTGATCAGACTTGTCTAAACTCACACATTTATTCACCCACACTGGAAAACATTGTGAAAACTCTGTCAACTTCATCCAAGGGCTCAGGATTCATTACCACCACTTCTTCGTATATTTAGCACAGACACTTGGGAGGAAAAAAAGATGTGATGTATGTAAAAATATATATGTCATTACTAAAAAGGAAGAGGTGGTATGTTAAGGAACCACTGCTGCATTTTGGCTAGGACTGATTCAGTGATCTACTCTTTTTCTGGGTTGATTTTCAGCAACTGTCCAATTCCAACTTTGTCAGCAAATGCCATAACCAGGTTATTGCTATTTCAAGTGGCAACACACCTGAGCTAGAAAACAAAGACTGAATAAGCCAAAGACTGAGTTCAAGTGTGATCAGAACTCAGCTGGAATGTACTACCTGCTGCTCTGAACTCAGTGGACAATACCAATAAATCCAAACTGCTCTTCAGCTTGGGAACCTCTTCTGATCATATAGAGAATACTGAAAGGTTTTTCTTTTCTGTTTCACCGATCTAGATGTTCAACACATGGGCAGGAAATACCTTTGTTTTCCCTTTGTATTTTTTCTTGTAGTTTGGTTATTCATGAATTCATTCATGATTGTGAGACCATTCCCAAGCACTAGTACACTGTGGGAACAAGTTTGCACACTGGTACATGACCAAGCAGGAACCCTGTGCAACAGCAGCCCAGACCACAATGCTACAGGTTTGGGACATTCAATATTTGCAGAAACAGCATTAGCAACTTGATATTTTGGTAAATTGGTATTTTGAGAAAAAAAAATGAAAAGCCAAGGATCCATAGGGAGTGGGCAGAAAATAAGAAAGCATTAATTTAGCTCCTCGCTGGCAGCACTGCCAGCTGTGCTGCCAGCTGGCCAGCTGACAGACTCACTGACCACAAGGAATCACACTCTGCACTTGTATAGTAAAATAGTAACTGTTTGCTCACTCAGGGTGGTTGAATAATCTGCCCTGACAAAGCCCACACTGAGGATCCTCCCATGTTTTATGGGCGTGCTGGGGGTGCATGTTTTAAAGTGGGGAGAAAACGGATTCTTTTATGCCACTACCTTAGGACCATCACGCTTCTGCATCTAAAACAATAATCCTTTGATGAGCAACAAAATAAATGCCATGCCCAGTAAGTTTCCATTATGATACTTGTTCTGCATCTGAAGAGGCTGTAAATCAGATCTAGTCACAAAGCGATTGTCCTTGCATTGTCCACTGTAAGTAACATATAACTCAGGGCACTGGAACAGGATACCATGCATGCTTGATGCTGAAGAAAAGCCCATTTGTACCTATTATATTGGAAAGTTTGTACAGCATTATTTCTTAAAAACTGGTTGTGTTTCTTAGATTCGTATAATCCTTTACTCTGAAATTAATGAGACAGTTTGTAGGGTATGGCACCTGATGTGGTCCCACCTGAGCATCTTCAGAAATGCAAACCTGAGTTATCACTTAGCTGATGAAAGAAGATAATCCACTGATATTCAGGTCTGAAGACACTTAAGAGTGGTGTCCAAATCTCTGCTTTGCATTATACACTATTGTGTACCTTCCTGCATCTTACTGTGCTACAATGGAAGCTAATGCAGAAACCAGTGGTCCACTATGTTACACAGGAGGGGAGACAGTTCAAGAAAGTTTTTATTTGCCAGGCTCCAATTATGCAACCCACCCATTTAAATTAAATGTGAATCGATCACAGGATGTCATAAAAGTGTCTCAGAAAGAAAATGCTATTAACAGTACAGAGAGGTGACACATCCAATACTTCACAGTTACAATGAACTAAACACTCTTTATTACCCACATGCACAGTTGTCCTGGCCCAGCACTCCCGACCACGAATTACCCTGTGTGACTGTTGATGAAAAAAGCATTTGCTTCCTTCTTGTCCAGCAACAGAGTGAAGTTCTGCACTAGCTGACATGAGGGCAATTTCTCCCCTTCAAGAAACTTTCAGAACATTATTTTCTGCAAACAGGACAGTGAAGTGTCCATCCTACAGCTTTTAGTTGGAACCAGTTTTAGAGGAATTTTGATCTGCACGAACTGAGCCAAGTTCAGTATCATCTACCCATGCAAGCTCCCCTGTATCTTACTTGTCAAACAGAGCAAGCACCATGTATCTGGCAAAAATAACATGTTCTCACACTGTGAAAGTCCATCAAAAAGCAGAGAAAGTCCCTTTCTCAAATGCATTTAGATACCTAGAGATGCAAATCAGCATTAAGTGGTGACTGCCAAAGGACAGAAGGTGTTCAACTGTTCACTTTCTTCAAAAAAATACTCTGTTAAGTTTCAGGTGGTGACAAATATCTGTAAGCAAGCCAATTCTTGGCACTAGAACTGGCCTCTTCCTTAGATAGACTCTGCAAGTGGAAGTGTGTTTATCCACATGCTCCACCATTCCCTGGAAGAAGTGTGAGGTTGCACCACATGCAGCCAACTGGGAAACAGGAAGCCATTGGTGGCACTCAGGAACAACATTCATCAGACAGTTTATAGTGCCTAGCACCGTGAAAGAATACAAAAGATAAAGGCATAGAAATTAATTCTTGAAGCAGTTTTCTGCTCAAAAAAGCACCTGTTCATTTTATGGATAAATATTTCCCTCACTTCTTGATAAAAATGTATTTTTCCAGTTCCATAAAGAAAACTCACATTAATAAAAGAACTATGAAATATCCTACACACAGTACTATGCTATATGCCTGATCTTCTAGACAGAATTCTGTTGTTCTGTAACTTAACACCTTGCACCTGTTATCATGGTGGGAATCACTATGGCTGCAGAATTTGCCCCTTATGTCCTCACAACACCTGGGTGAGGTAGATAGGTTCCGGAAAATCTTCTTTAGGAGGGGAAATAGGCAAAAAAGAGGTGAATTGACTGGCATGGGGATGTCTAGGAGCAAATCCCAGGTCATACCCGCAGATCTTTCCACTGCAAGACACTGCTTTACCTCCCACCCACCACCATCCGCCAGGGCTGAAGGAAATGTCAAAATACATCCAGCCCAACACCAATAATTCTGTGGAGTACTTCTGCAACAGAAATGGCATAAATAGGTTAAAAACTGCTTTTCTCACAAGACACAAATTCCAAAGTACACCAGATAACTCCCACTGCTGTCAGCCAGCACATGCACAAGACTAGAATCTGGGTCCATCAGTTTTTCCCAGGGCATTAATTAGAGCCTTTCTCATGTCTTGGCTTCACTCAAAAATTGCAGAGTTATTAATTAAGGCACATCAGGGGCTAATTCAGGAACTTCTGCAATAGATGTGAAGTCCTATGGGCCACTGGTCATCTCCAGGCTACCACTAGAAAACACTGGATGGCATGTGAAATCACACCTGTGACTGAGGGAAAGGCTCCCTTGCCTCTAATTGCCACAAGAAACACAGAGCCAACCTCAGTGCATCATTGTCTGAGAATCAGCTGAATCATGACCAGCATGGAATTATGTTATCTCAATCCTCAGTAAAGGTGTCTAAATGCACTGAGACTTGGGAGTGAAAAAAGGTGAGAGAAAGTGTGTTGGATATTGACTTGGAAGAATCCCACCACATGGCTGAGGACCAACTAAAACATAACATCATGTACCCCCTTCTTCAGTAGACAAGTGACAACAGAGATTTCTCTGTACAGTTTCTCACTTGTAGATACAAGGAATGCTCAGGATACAAGGATGTAAGGAATGTTCAGCCCCTGCCTGAGTGTAATGTTCAATGTTAATGATTTACAAGTACATACCAGTGATATAATAGCTCAAACCACTTGATACAACAGCCTCCCCTTTCTTTATTGAAAGTCCGATAAATCCTAATTCTTGACCTTGATTGGAGGTACAATGGATCACTTGATCATACTTACGATCTCAACACATAAGGTTGTATAATTGCAAACACTTTTGTCTCCATCACAAGTGGAGTAAGATTGGGTTGGTTCAAACCTGGTGACTGCTGGAAGGCAGCAAACACCCAGCACTGGATCTGAAGACTCTATACAGGACTTTAGGCAATAGGGACTACTAAGGGTACTTTCCTCGTTTAACACAAGAGTTCTTCACAGCTCACTGGTTTGCTGTGCTGTTTGCCCAGGCTGGGAATGTGTCCAGCCCAAATACAGGTCTTCCCCATGTGTTGATGGCCAGCGTGATACAGCAGACTCCAATGAGGTTCATCACTATTCCAGTTCTAACCTGTGAGGAAAAAAATCCAAGCCAACAACAATAACCAAACACCAGCACAGCAAGTCCAAACCAGCAACATTCAAACACCAACACAGCAAACTGCAGCAAGACATACTTGTACATAGTCATGAAAGTCAGTCAAGTAAATCACAGAAATAGCCATTGTATCCATCACCTTCTGCTCTTGCTTAGGTGGAAACACCAGGGAACACACTGTGCAAAGTCTTTGAGCACTTTGCTATGAATATAACCAGACTAGGGGCTTTAAGGCATGTGTAACAAGTCTTTCTTACTAGTTAGAGGACAGCTTATGTGCTCTTCAAGTACCCAGTTAGAAAGCCAGTAATGTTTGTGTGTTCTGCCCAGAACCTGCCCTGTGTGGTCTGGCAGAAAATCAGAGAACCAGAGCCAAGGGTTACTGATTGCTACCTTCTGCTTTCAGCTCCAGTGGAGACAAGGCTTTAGACACTCGCCAAAGCCCCAGAACACTGCAGGGCATGCCTGCACTTTAACCCTTCAGGTTTCAGAGACTTATGACTTGTCAGTTTTTAATTTCACTTGGGCCAGTCAGTATATCTGCCAAAGCCTGTGAGAAAAGTACTGTTACTTCAGAGATGCAAATTTTTATCACAATATTAATACTGCAGAAGAGAGGGCCATAGAGTGGTAGTCACAGCCCATAAGAGCTTCCTGGTCCTTTGCAAATACTCTGCAAAGAAAATTAAACACTCACCATATTTCAGGAAGAAAGCAATGGAGAATTTCAGATAAGAGAGAAGGCAATTATCTTACCATATCCAAAACACGGAGGTGGCCATAAGAAAACACTATTGCATTTGGTGGTGTTGCAACAGGTAGCATGAAGGCAAATGAAGCACTGAGAGTAGCAGGCACCATAACATACAAAGGATGGATCTTGACAGATGTGGCCTGCAATGAAATGGAGAGAATATCACTCTGGGGGTATTAAAAAAGAAAAGCATACATGATCAATCTACCCCAGACCACTGAAATACACAGGTTTATTTTGTTTCCTTGCATTACATCACCAGAATAATTCACATTTTATTCTGAAATCCTCATGTGCTTAAAGATAACTTGCTGTTGCTTCCTGTCCCATGATACTTAAAAGCAACACTTGATTCTTTCATGTTGTTTGCTTTGTTCTATGGTATAATTTGGATTTCTGGTCAAATATATCCAACAATCTTTTCTTTAACCTCGGACCACCCTTTTTCCAGGAATGGGAATTATAATTACTAGGCACGTGGAGTGACACTCTTAGACTTTAGTCCCTGTGGGACTCTAAACTTAAGTGCCAATTTAAGTCATTATTAGCTCAGTACCTTGATTGGGGTAATTTTGTTTTGATGAAATAGTCTAGAATAAAGTGCTTGTCCTTTCCTAATTAAAGGACAAAGTAACCTATTTTTCTCTTTATGCCACATTTTCATTTCAAGGCAGCAAAACTTACCAGGGTTTCCTCCCTAAGTTTTAAAATTGTTCTGGGTTCCTATGAGAAATTACACATTTCTAATAATCAGGCCTACCACTTTGAGTATTTTAGTACAAAATGTGAAGATGAGTAATTCAATGGCATCAACAGAAAGTTCTGGATTTTGTTTTGGTTTGGATTTTATGTGTGTGTGTGTGTGTGTATGTGTTTTTCCAGTTCTAAGCTGATGGTTCAAACTGACCAGAAGTAATTGATGTTTTCTGACCTGCATTGAAAAAGTGACTGTCACTCACTTTCTCCAAGGCCAAAGCACACACCTTACAGAAGGCATGACCTGGAGCAACATCCAAGACACTAAATATAATATTGCTTTGCCACCCAGTTTAACTCTGATCCCCCAGCTGCCAGGGTAACAGGACAGAAGCAATCTTACCAAGGATGAAAAGACGGGCAGGAAGAGGGTAGCTGTGGCCACATTACTGGTGCATTCAGTGAAGACAGCTATAATAAGGGAGACCACTGTTGCAATGGCCCATGGTGGGATAGATCCCAGGGGAGTCATCTGATGACCCAGCCAAGCTGAGAGCCCAGAGTTCTGCAAGAAAAAAAGTGGGTTTCAGGGAAGTTTAAAACCCTGACTCGCAAACAAGGAAGCCATGTTATGGGCAACATTCCTGTCTAATAATGCTAAAGGAGTCCTGAATTATACAAACACCATCCAGGAAAGTACAATGATTTGTCACAAAAACAAAAAGAAATTCCTTGCCAACTAGACATAACACTGAATCACACTTTTCTGATTCTTCTGGAAATCAAATACTTGCTCACACATAGGTTACAAAATTATGGTTTTCTGACTAAACAAGAAAATTTTTCTGAGGTCATTGCAAATACTAATTTATAGCCCAGAAAGCTTCTAGGCACATTTTTTCTAAGGTTTCTGAAGGTTATGATTCTGTATGAATGCTCTATTGTAGGAAAACAGTCAGTAGTTGGATACAAACAGGTTACAATATCTCTGACTTGCTAGTTTTTAATGCTCTGGAGCTTTATTAATTTATGTGTGATGTATAAAGATGAAAGTAAGGCCCAGAGCTTTAATTTGTCCCATGGTTAAAACCACAAAATTAGCCACAAAACTAAAGATGTGACATGACTTTCCCCAAAGTATTGCACTACTGATAGCTAATGCTTGCTTTGATATTGATGCATCTTAGCAGTGATGAAGGAAACAATATGTCTCACCTCAAAATTCCTTCCTGTTTTAAGAATTAGCTGCTTTTTCTGTGAATTTATGAACACAGCATCAACCCAGATTTTCTTTCTGACCATTTCAGCAGTGGTTTTGCTTTAAGTCTGAAGATATATAACCTTTAAACAAACCTCAAATGGTTCTGAAAATCTGACAAGTGTTATCTATGCTTCTACTTTTCTAGTCAGGGCTACGATTGGGATGATTACAGAAATAAGAAAGTATTCTTTTCTGGACTGTCCAGACAGTGAAGATCCTAACCTACTCGTCAGTCTCCAAGCAGTAAGATAAATTAAAGAAATTTAGGCAGAAAACAAAAATTCCTAGAAAAGACTCACAAGCATTCACCTCTCCTTGGTTTTCGCTAATTTAGATCTCCCTCCAGATCCTAACATTGCTACTGGGTTTGGCTTTGGGTGCATGCCCAGTAATATGGGCCAGAAAACAAACCAGGGAAGTTCTCCTTTGAGTCAGAGAAAAACAGATGTCAGTACATACTGCGCTTGCATCAGCTAAAGCAAAACCTCCTCCCAGCAGCAGCACAATGCTCCAGGGCATCTTCCTCTGAACCACATCCCAGTCTAGCAGTGAGGTTGATAAAAATGGCTTTTTTATATCTGAAGTGAGAAATGAAAAGTAGAACATGTTTTAGGAGAGTGAAGACACTTTGTCTCCTGTTCTATAAGATACTGGTGGACAGATGCACAGTACTGAGAAGTCTGCACAGTGAGGGTAACACACATGAGCACATACTGTGCCCCAGCCCTTCCCAACAAGGGAGGTAGGTGAGCTGCTCTAAAGAACTGCGTGCAAATCCAGTGCATGATTCTGCCTTGTTAGCTGAGTGGGTTAGCTGTTTCACAGTACTACAGTCCCTCTTTTGAATACCTTCTTCAGTCTGTTTAGGGTCAGACACGCTTTGATTCCAGGCTATGAATTTGGGCTTATGAGCAGGAAGCACAAACAGTAACAGGGCAACAAACATAGCAGGAACAGAATCAGTGATATACCTAATGAAGAAAAGAGAATACTGGTTAGAAAATGGACACCTTTCTTCTAGAAAAGGGCTGCCTTCTAGCATTCTAGTCACTGATTTTTGCCATCCCATTTGGGGCTTGAACAAAATGGGTCATTAACTCATGTCTGAGGTCTCTCAGACCTGCCATAATATAAACACAATAATAAAAGAAACACGTTACAATACTACAATACACGTTAAAAAGCAGAGTCCTGGATGACAACTCATCCCTCATGGAGCAGGGCTCCTTCTCTGTGCTGAAGCCAAGACTCAACAGTTGTATCGCAAACACAGACATCTAAAGAAATGGTCTGAATGATAGTCCCAACATGTATTTTATGTTCCTAACATGCCATGCACAAACACTATGCAAAGAAGCCATTCAAAGCACAAAATCAATTTTCCAGTGAGTTCTAAGGTATTGGTTAAAGGTGATATTACCAAATACTCAAATGCAACTGCAACTGATTGGAGCTCATACAAACAAAATACCAAGGTGTACATCAGTGTGACTGAGAGCAGCATAACAGAATTTTCTTTTAGAAGATTCAGCTTGCTCCATGTCTCAGTCTCCAACCTTTTCACTGCAGTACAAACTGTCAAATCATAGGTGATTGGTACTGTCATGTACAAGCCGTTGGATCAAGCCCAGCAAACATGTTAAGTCAGGTAAAGTTGGAATTAATGACCCCACATTCAAAATGGAATGTATGAGCAAGAGAATCTGATTAACCAAGACGGTAAAAGATGGAAAAAAACCCTAAAAACTTACTTGTCTCCTCCTGAGAAGAGCCTGGCAGCCCAGCCTTTTACAAAGCCTGGGTTTCTGGTAAACCACAAGAGCACCAGCAATAAAAACAACAGGAAGACATTTAATTCAGCATAAGAGACAGGGCCTAACTTTCTCATTTCTTCCTTCAGCACATTGTATGCAGCTTTTTCTTTTGCAGTTCTCTCTGTCCCATAGCCCCAGTTTTTTTTAAAGCTTTGAGAAAAATGGGAAAAAATAATGTAAGTATCAATATATTAGAGAGATTTAACATCCTTATCACTCCAAACTCTGGGGGACAGACACAGACCACAGCAGAGGCTATAAATAAAGAAACTACAACAGTGCCAAAATATTTTGTGGGGACACACCAATTCTCACAGAAGAATGGAGTCTATTAAAGGATGGCAATTTGGAGTAACCTGGGATGAAAAAGTCAGGTTTGAATCAATGGCTGCAAACCAGCTATGCAGGCTCTCCTAGGGTTGAAATTCACAGGTCAGAGATTGAAAAGCAGAAAGGCAATTCTGTCGAAGATTAAGAATGTATAAGGCTTTTGCCTTAATGTACCTCCCATGAACATAAAATGTTTCCAGACCTCAAAATTTCTGTGAAATGAACCTACTCTCTGCTACAAAATTAATAACTTGTCAGCACATTTGTTTTAGCCAGATATCTCAGTAAGCTAACTAACTTACTTAGGGGTTTACACAATATTGTGTAGATAAATACTCACTTGAGTCCCATGAAGGAGCACTGTAACCAAAGCCAAGCTAGCGCCAACATCACAATCATGTTTGGGAATGCAAATCCAAACCAGGAAGCAAAATTCACAATATCATTATTGTTGGGGTATAACCTGTAAAGAAATGACTTTCTGTATGAATGTCAAAACATTTAGTAATCTACTCTACCTTTAATATGTGCTAGTGACAATTATGCATGTAAATCTAGGACAACCATTACAAGCAATCATAGGTAACATCCACAGCCTAACTTAAGTCATGGGAGAAGGCAGCCTGATTTCAGAGCATAACTTAAATGACTGTAAGTTTTCCCTGTGTTATACTTTGATGCATATAGGAGCTTATGTGGATATTTTGGGTCTCAGTCAGACAAGTGTGGCTGAAAGACCTCACATACTTCCTAGATACCTTTCACTTCCAACATGCCTGTTCATTTATCCCAAGACAGGATATTTTTTCTTCCTCCCAATTCATGCTAATAAGAGAGCAAGAAATGTCTTTCCTGAAATTAATAACTATACTTCTGCTGCCTTCAACAGATGAAAAAGTTGCTAGTTGGCTTGAAAGAATGAAGACAGTATTTTAAGAAAGGCAATTTCTGTAATTCTCTGTGTTTGCTGATAATGATAGGAGGGAAAATATCAATAGCAAACTTCCAGCTGGGTGTTAAAACCAACAGATAATGTAGCAGCTGAGGCTGAAGTACTTGCAACACAAGGAAGCAATGTTGGAAAATTTCCACTGCAGACTGGGTTCCATGTAGATCAGTTCCCAAACTCAGTTTAGCAATGAGAGAACAACACAACTGTAGTTTCCACAACCACAGCATGGAGGAATGCTTCTACAGGAGGAGCCAAGCTCCTTCTAGCTCTCTTCAGTGTGCTTATGAGCAGAGTTAATCTACATTCTTCTGGTGCTCTTTACTGCAGTTCCTCTTCTGATGTGCTGTATTTCAATTGAAAGAGAGGACACAGAAGAACCAATATCTCATAATCAACCACCTGCATGTCGATTGTCAACATGTATTTCCAATTTTCTCAGAATTTAATTCCATCACATAGCTTCTGTTTAAAAGATGCAGAAGCAAAAAAGATGAGGCCCAACACTTCATACACATTTCTCAGACTCAGTGCCTCAACTTACTGCTCGAAGTTCACAAATGAATTTGTCATCTAAGACCAGTCAATTGGTCACACAAACAGTATAACAATGTAACTAAAAGAAAAAGCAAAAATTACTTACTGATTCATCTGGCCTTTCAGTACCACATTTGGTCCTGTTCCGGTAAGTGTTGCAGTTCCTCCAATGCTGGCAGCATAGCATACACAAAGTGTCATTCCCTTGCATATACGCTTCTTCATTTTCTGTTCCTCAGAAGATCTGGGGTCATCAGGGACTTGTTCATTGCTTACAACTAGGCAGAAAGAAAATTATTTGCCTCAGGTAAAGTTGTAAAGACAGAGAATTCAGGATAGGGTCTGTAGGCTTAGTGCTTCCAGTTTGTATGTGCCAGTAATTTTAATTAAAAACCCACAGATATCTCCCTAAATACTTCAGACTAATGTTCATGAGGGGCCAGAGCAAGAGGCTGACAGTCTGGGTTTACGTGATCCAAGGATGCTATTGCCCACATCAGAGCCACAGCTCCTCATCAGCAATGTCTTGCTTCACAGAGGTGTACCACCAGCCAAACATCACAGTCACTGGAACAATTCCAATTCCACAGTGAGAACCCAACTACCTTTAACGGATATGAATATAGGCAGAAAAAAGCCCTACTGAAACCCAAATCCTTGCTTGGCATTATGTCACGAAACTTTACTGCTTTGTCCATTGTTCTCTGAGGTTAACACTCTAAATCTTGAAGTCAGACTAGACTAATGGAATAGGACAAAGAATTTATGGCAACTATAAACAACTCAACAATATTAAAGGGTATTTTTTGCACACTCTTATTATCTTCACTACACTTGGAATCTGATCTTTAATCATATTTAATAATATAGCCCTCTGTAACAGCACAGCAGAGCAGTGAAATGAGAGGGTCTGAGTTTGTGCACATATTTCAAATGAAGTGAAACCTATTGCAGAACCACAGCATTGGCAGAGGACCTTAAGGAATCAAGCATCAGTGTAAGATCACACGCAAGAACAGTTTGTCTACTGCGAGTCAAATTACACCTTATCTTCTTTTCCATGTGGCTTTTAAAGTAGTCCTCTTTATTCTCCCCACCTCCACATAAAATCTGGTCAATAAAGAGATATTTATTACCCTAGAACCAAAATAGATTGTGTTTAAATAATTTTTTCAAATAGTCCTACATCAACCTAGAAGCTGAATCCCCATTGATAATCACAAGATTTAGAAAATAGTATGCTGGGGGTTGAGATTGCTATTTCCCACAGGATATGCTCTTCACTTCCCTAAACAAGTGGTTAAGCCTGGGGAAACTGTGGGAGGATGACTACAGCTCAAAGAAAATAACATAACAACCTGTCTGGGATCTAGCACTAGCACACAAAATGGTAGCCATCAAAATTGAAAGCTATTTTGTAAAACCTAAATGTCATGTATTTAAGGAATTTTAGGTCAGGTTACCATCCTCTTTCCTTGGAAAGGGTACACAGCACTCATAGGTAGGGGAGCTGAGTGTAGCAAGTTCAGTAGCGTCAGCTTATTGGTGAGAAGGCCCTTACCGTGCACTGCAGTGGACTCTGATGTGCTCTTTTCCTCCAGCTCAATCACTGCATTTGTTTGCCCAGTTGCTTGTTCCATCATGGTCACATCATACTCCGTGCTGTCCATTTGATCCAGAACAGCCTGGACAATGGGAACCATCATGGCAGTGGTGGCTGTGTTGCTTATCCACATGGACAGGAAGGCAGTGACTGCCATAAATCCCAGCATGAGGCTGAAAAGAGAGAAACGTCTTTCTTTTCAGAGGAGAGAAAGAAAGTGAACAGATGCTGCTAGGCTTTGCAGTCACCGTAATCTGGAGAGCAAAGCCCAGGCAAGGATGTGTGCAGCATCCACTAGTACAGTGACTCCCTTCTAGGACAGCTCTCCCACCTTTACTGAAGGAATCCCAGTGCACGATTAAGTCTGTCATAATTTTGTCCCCAAAGGCAAGCCTCTAAAATTCAGTCTAGTCTAGATAGTCTAGATACTAGTTTTGGATAAAGGACAAATAAACTGTTCCTGTTGCTAGACTTCACTTCCAGAAACTGTGAAAGTACAGCTGAATTGGCTCTTATTCCTTTCTCTGTCGACTGTTAAATGTCATCACCAGGCCTCTGCTAAACTGAGAAATGGTAAGAAAAAACAATGTAATATTCTTACAGTGCAGGTTTCACCCCAAGAATCAGAAGGACTCTCAGTGCAATCCTTCTGTGAAGATTCCACTGCTCAACAGAAATTGCGACAATCAGCCCTCCAAGGAAGAGCATGTTTGTGTTATTTAGGTACTGAAAGCACACCTGAAAGACAGAGAAAGTACATCAGGCCAAAATACTTACTTCACTAGTACAATTTGCCTACCACCCTCTCAAATCCATGGACTGGACCAGGCCCCAGCCAACACTGGAACAAGAGGCAGCTGCTGCCTGAGAGCTCCCTGCAGTTTCCTGGACCCTCGATCTCCTGGGTAACTGCTGACTTGCCTGTGCAAGAAATCTTTGGGCATCATTGTGCAAAATGACACCAGCTTCCTAAAACATAGTTGGGGGCTCAAAGTATGGAAGGTGCTGGAAATATTGAGCTCCAAAAGGACTCTCTGAGCATCTTCAGCAACCATACCTGCCTTTACGAGATTGTTGGGCAGTAGTGAACCTGGGCTACAGAACCTGAATGTAGCCTGTGCCTTGTGCCTCCAGCACAAACAGCCCAGGATGAGATCTGGGGAGAGGACACAGCATACCTTCTGGCACCATGCCATCTATCCTCTCAGAAGTTCATCCCATGCATTTTGAGATCTCCCAGAAGACTGACAGCACTACTTCCTCATAGGCTGGGAGCACACACACTGCTGGCACGAGTGGGATGCTCTCCTGCAGGATCCATGCCCAAAACAGATCCTCTCCTCTACTACCTCAAGTCTCCCACTCTTAAGAGTTTGGGCAAATGTGTATGTAGTTCAGCATCTTCCCATATAAGAACCCTGAACACTAGTACAGACTCGTTGGCTAAATACTGGTGGGGGATCAGAGCACTGGATTTCTCTGTATCATATCTGGATTGCATGAGTTCCTTACTTTTTTAGCAGTCTGAACTCCAAGCAGAGGGAAAAATACCACTGGAATGAGGGAGGTGACAGCCAGGGGGATCACTTCAGTGCACCAGTACACAGCCATGATGATGATGATATATGCACATCTGGCCTCCTGCAACATAATAGAAGATACACTTAAGCATTAGAAACTGTTTTTAAAGATAAGAAACACATTGGTAGCTCTTACAAGTGGCTCACACACTCCACTGTCTGTAGCTTTACAAGTTACGCTGAATGAGGACTTAAACTTGCGCTTTTAAATCATGCTTTGAAGTCACTTGTATAAAAGGATTTTTTTGACTAAGAAGGCCATAATGTTTGCTTTAATACATCCACACAAAATAAATGCTGTGAGAAAAATAAATCTTCCACCACTAGGTAAGTGCACAGTTTGCCCTGTGAAAGTACCTCTTGTTGGTTGAGGTCAGCAAATTTTACACCTAGGAGCCAAGAACAGCAATATAGAGTTAATTTTTTTAATGGATGGCCAAATTTCCCAGTGTGGATGATTAGCTTGCCTGAAATTCACAGTTTCTGATGTATGCCCAGTAACACAGTTGAGCTCAGAAACTATTTCATTGAATAATTTAAAAGCTCTTTGCTTTGTGAAGTAACTCCTAAAGTAAAACTCTTATATATATTTGTTGTTGTTGTGACCATGCACATTAGAGGCATTAAACTACTTTCCCAAATCATACTGTCCCTACCTGCTAAGGGGATTCCCTAGTTTAGAATTGTTGCAAACTGTCTTTTTGGGCTTTTGATCAGGCATTTCTGAATCCCAGACTTCTGTGGTTTATACTCTAAAAATTGTCAGGAGAAGCAAGCATCCATTAGCTAACAGTGAACTGTTTGAAAGTTGAAGTCAGTGTTCTGTAGTTCAGTATTTGCTCCTATTCAGGGCATGTGTTTATAGGATTTTATTCTAATACAACAAATGTGACTTTATTGCTAAAATAAATGGGGTGACAGTCACACTTAAAAACTGACATCAGGTAACATTAGCATGTAGGACTGTGTTTTGCTTAATTTTGTTGAGAAGCTTAAGAACCAGAAAACACCTTTTGTAAGTAATTTGAATTTTTTTCCCCTCAACTTTCCTGATTAATTACAGCACAAATTTTGAGAGGAAAAATTCTTCAGAGACTAGAAGATATCAGGCAGATCCTGTTGAAGGCTCTTTCCTTTATACACATAAAGTCAGCTTATGATAAAATTCATAAGCTGCAGTAATGCAGGGCTAGAACTGACCGTGGTTAATCTGTTGCTAGTATGAAAGACAGAAAAACAACTCTAAGTGAATAAAATTCAAAACACTGGTTTTAGAGAGTAGAGAGGAAATAATTTATGTGAAGCTCAAAAATACAATGATGCTTATAAATTAACTCCAACAACCACGGCCAATTCAAACAACCAAAGATTTGGAATTAAATATATATTTGTACTTATACCTATATCTATCTGTGATTTATGGGAACAGTCACAGAAGGTCTCTTTGGTGTTTCTGTACAGCTGACACAAAACACAGTGACCTGCCTCGTGGCTGAAACACGAAAAAGCAGACACTGACAGAAATATTGCTTTCCCATTGTGAAATATTGTAATTTCTTAGGTTAGACTAATGACACAATATGCCTAGAAATAATGGCAAACTGAAGACATACTTATTTTTTTGGAAATGATCTTTCCTAGTTTTGGCCAAAGTAGAGCTTAAAAGTCAGGAATTCCCAATTATATAAAGTACCACCATTCAACTGAAAGGCTAGGCTGGTATAACTTAAGACAGGTAAACCAGAAGGGTTGGCAATTTGGTTTATAAACACAAGATAAAATTTTCCTGTACTTTAAACCAGACTGAGCGATGCAAGTTTCTCAAAAGAAAGGCTGTTTTTACCATTAGAATAGCCTCCAAAGCTCTAGTAGGCAAAAAATACTGCAAACTGAGCTGTCACACTTGATCAAGGCTACAAAGCATTAAACCCCAAACTTCCCTGGGTTATTCCAATTCTATGCTGGTGTAACTCCACTGAACGCAAAGGAATGGTGCCATCGCCATCCCTGGAGTGAGATGGATGAACTGGAGGACATGGCATTTGAAATCCTGACCAATTCAGACAACACAACCCTGACTGCATCAGGATGGAGAATGTCACCAAGCAACATACTGGGAGTACCAGAGCCTCAGCAGAGAGCTGGGGGACGCACTTGCGCCCTTCAGCCCACTCCAATCGCTACGACACGATGCAGACAATTCCAAACGCGCCAGCTACACACGGATTTGTCTCGGCCCACAATGAATTGCACCTAACTGGCACGGTGGGTTGGGTGCGTGGGAGCCACCGGGAGCAGGGCCGGAGCCGAGCTCCGTTCCCGCAGGGGCCCCGCAGGCACTTACCCGCGTGGACACAGCGAGCGGCAGCGGCAGCAGCAGCAGCGGCGTGAGGAAGAGGATGGCGAAGGAGCGGTACCTCAGCAGGGGCCGCAGGCACGTCGGGGCCATGTTCTGTGGGGTGACACGGTCAGGGCGCGAGCGGGAGCAGTGCCCGCCGCCGCCGCTTTAAGTACAGGGCGGGAGGGACCCGGCCGGGGGCGACACGTCCCGCCCGCCCCGCCGGGGGCCGCCCCGGGCAGCGGTGCGGCTGGGGACCGGCAACGAACCGGCCCCCCCGAGCGCCCCAGCCCCGCTCCGACCAGCCCTCCTTGCCTGGCCGCCGGGACACGGCCACCTCCGTGCGGGGCTTCTGCAGCGCCTTCGTGCCAAGGAAAGCGGCTCAACGTCAGTGCACCAGCTATCGCACCAGTCGGGAGTGTTGTAGGAATGTTCTCCCTGCTCACAGAGCCCACAGAAAGGTGCCAGCGAGCACAGACTGTCACAGTGCGCATCGCTTGCAGGGACCCAGGTGCTGACACGGCCCCTTTCGGGAGCAGGACTTTCGTGAGGTGCTGGTTACGCCAAGGGAGGATCGTCCCTCGCTCATTCACACAGTGCTGGGGAAGGACTGAGCTCCTTCAGGGAAATGGAGAGTTAAAAACACAGTGGGGGTCTCCCCAAAACAAAGGTCTGTGCAGGCATGCATGGTTGTGTTTTGCTAATATTTTGAGAGGCACTGTGCCTCTGGATCTGGGTTAAAAATAACCCAGGAAGGTTAACTTGAAAGGTTATTTTTAATGTTGAATTCAGTGACTTCGTCTACAGCGCAGCCTCGGAATCCAAAGGGACAGCCCTACTGATGGTGGCCAGCACGACTGAGAAGGCAGAAAGGGACAAATAGACAGAGGACAAACAAATCGTTGGTATTTTAGGTTTTGCTTCTGGAATGGCAACAGCCACCTGAAATTGAAGTCAGCATAAATCATATCTCAACAATTTGATCCTGCAGTCTCTTAATACAGTCTTACTAAGCATTTACTCACAGAAATAAAGAATTTCAGATTCCACAGAAACTAATGAGGGAGCTCTGACTACAGCTTGCACTCTTAGTCCTCTGCTCACCAGAGGAACTTGAGTGACAGAAGTTCAAAGCAAGACACTCCAATGTTACTTTTCATTTATAAAAGCAGTGAATACCCACTGAGAAAACAATAGCCAACCGGATCTGGGCAGATTCCAAATCTTCAAACCTTTCGAAGCAGTCCCTCTGGGTAACTTACCAACACAGAGAAAACTTCACACCAGTGCAAAGTCTAGCAGAAAATGGGGAATTGGCCAAAACTTGCATTCCTGTGGCCTGTCTCCAATGAATAAATGGTTCCTAGTCAAAAAAGAAAAAGGACTAGAAGCACTTAAATAAGAAAATGCAAATAGTTCACTCTAAAGGAGTTGTTCTAAGGTTAACTCTGAGTCCAGTGCAAATATAATTCGTTGTCTTCTTGTTTCAATAAGATGCAGTGAAGAAAAAAGAAAATAAAGAGAAAGACAAAAAATGTGTTGATACCTTTAGATGGACTAATATTGTGAAAGGAGATTTGCTTGCTGTACCTGGGGATGAGACATAGGACTCCATGGGCAATTAAATTAGCTAATTCATGCCTCAGTCCCTTTTTTTGTCAATACAGAAAAGGTAATCAATATTCTCTTATTGTGCAGAATTACTGCAAACTTGCCTTCATATCATTTGATGATAAGGTTCTTTTTCATTGTGCCAAGAAGACAAAGTTTTGGCTGCTTACTTTACAAAACTGGTCTGATAGCTGGATAGAAGGGAACTGCAGAGAGTCTAAGCACTTGCAAAACATCCAGGAGTTTTAGGTGGTCCAAAGAGCATTCAAACAAAAATCTCCCACCACCTGAAATTCAGCTTATGCTAATTGAGCACTAATTTCCCACCTTCAAGAAAAGAGAATCCTTTCCTCCAGTCAGTATTGGCTCTGAACATAGAAGAGAGCAATGGCTTTAAATACTGCTTTAGAAGCAGTGGGTAAAATTAGCTTTTGGTTGCAGACATCATTTAGAAGCAGAAGACTGTAGCACCCTTTGGGCCAAATTTTGATACCCTATGGTTGAATAATGTACTATTCTTGTTCTTGGTAGTAAGTTTCAAATCAGTTTTCAAAGGAACTCAAATTTTTGTGTTACAAGGAATCTTAGGCATGGGTGGTGACATGAAGTGGAACCAGGACCTGAATCAGTCTCTTGTACCTGAAATCCCTTTTCCTGGCTGCAAGATACCACTTCTCCCATTTGTTTTTCTCCTGCCCTAATAAAAACAGGTATTTTGAAGCATGTCAAGAAGCAAGGGTTTAAGTAACAGAGCCAAGCCCATCTTGTGGCCCACTGCCAGCAACCTTCCCTGGCCTTTGCGACATTTCTCAGCTGGTGGCTCTGGCGCTCATTTGATTTAACTTGACAAAGAATGCAGAACACTTTTCTGCTGTTAGTGAGCTGAATAGATTCAATGAAGTGTTCAGTAAGCACTAGAGCCAGCTCAAGAGACTGGGCTAGTTAGGCTGGGCAAGGAACAGCTGTGGCAGGAACAGCCACACCTTCCAAGACAGCAAATGCCTAGATGACCTTAACAGCATTGTCAAACCACATGCAGAGTCTTGCAATCTTCTCTTTCATACTTCAAATTGCCAGAGTCAATAATGTGAACCATGGTCAAGAGTTGCAGCCCAAGTCCAAGTGGGACACTGGTGAAGTCTAGTAAAAAAAGGCTGACCTGTATTACTTGGGAGAGAAAGGGACTGAAAATCAATCCCAGAAAGAAGGAATTCCAGGGTCAGTCCAGGTAGAAAAACTGTAAAATAAAGATTTATTTTTTTAGTTCAGTTCATTCCTGAGAAGCTGGTTTTCTGATAGATCGCAATCTCTACAAGGCAATCATCCCAGTTACTCCAGTTATTGGAGGATAGAAATGGTCTGTAAAAAGGTGGCTTTACAGGAAGCAGCTAGTTCATTTAATTACAGATAGACATATTTTCTGCCTCTAATTCAAATGCTGCCCAAGCACACAAGTACAGTTTTCTTGTTCTAAAGCAGACCATTTGACCTAGATAACTGCTACTCTCTCTCAAGACAAGAACTCCTCACATTCTTTATAAAGTTCTTTCACGTTGCAGGCTCCGTGCAGCAGCCAGAGGTACAAAAGTTTTAACAAAATAAAATTAAGCAAGGACTGTAAGTCATATTATACTTGACACTGAGAAACAAAAATTAAAACAACTGAACCAGATATTCTAGGACTTAGCAGAAATAGAATGTTTTCTACTTGGGCTTCTGAAAATCACATTTAAAAAACAACCAGCTCAGAACTTACCTCTATGTGATTCTTGCCTTCAAAAGATGCCTAGAAGAGGTCTTGTATAGTAATGCTATGCTCTGGAAGGTTTATACAGAATTTAAATAGAAAGAGTTATTACCAGCATTCAGAGAAAACCACTCCTTCATTGCTCTCCATTTTCCCTCCAATCGGTCCTTCCCAGTTACTGCCAGTCCACTGTCCTGCTTCAGGAGTAGCTTTCAACTAAGTTCCCAGTGGAGCATCTGATATTTTTCCAAGAAAAGCTCTCAAGACTCTGAATGAACAGTCCTTTCAGCACAATCCCTGTGCCCAACAACTTTCTGCACAAAAGCCCTCATTATGAATTTTGAGTCAGTGGGGTTTTCTCAGTCAGTGTATGTAGCTGATCAGTCTTTCTTGACCTAGAATTGGTGTTTCCTATATAGTTTGTGCCCTAAAACCCATTCAAATGCTGTGCAGGCTAACGAATACAAAAAAAAAAAAAAGATACAAAAGAAAATAATGTTAAAAATTTGATTCAGAATTGGCAGCTTTGTAACCTCTCCCTTAGCTGCCACCTCATTAACATATTTTTTCAAAAGCCTTTTCTCTGCTTCATTACATAATTTGTGTTACAAAATCCAGATAAACATTAATTATTCCCAGATCTAAATAATGGCTTACTGCGCTTCCTTTTTTTTCTTCTTTCATTTTTCCCAGAGAAAAATGTGGGACAGAAGGGGCTTGTTTAGATGGGAAATGAACCACACCAATTTCTGAGAAACATCTGTGGCAGCTGTTGTATATGGCATTATGATACATTGTGCAAAGACTAGTGAATGATTTTTTCTGATACTCCTGCAAAGTAAAAGAATCAATATTAGTGCCCCTGCTTGACAGACTAAGAAGGTCAGTTAGTATTTTCTGCATCTTCTATATTCCATTATTCCACACTGGGTAGGGTCTGTCATATCTGAGACACCACTTGCATCATACAGCTATAAGGAATCAGTTGTAGCAACAGGTACAGAAATGCTCAACCTTCCTTCAGCAAGTCTTGAAACTTCTTGGCATTGAAAACATGGAGTTCTGTTCATTCTTCTCTCTAATTCATATATCTTCTGAAGTTTCCTATTTAAAAATTTATTGCTGAGGTCCAGGAGGAAACAGGATCTGCTGTTCCTGGGGCCTCTCTGCTGTTGGTCCATCCCAGTCACAGCAAAGCAAACTATCACCAGGGAGGAAAGTCAGTGCTGGTTAATACAGGTTGGAGATTTCACCTGGCACGTACTTGGATAGCCCGAAGTGCTCCAAGGGTCATTGGGGAACCAGTGAGGCCTGGGCATCTGCTGGGCATGGCTGAGCAGCCCACGTGCGGCTGGGGGACTGATGCTGGGTTTCTCCCAGGTGGAGATGGAGGCAAAACACCTCCCATGCGCTGGCAGCATTTGTCCAAGGGAAGCAGCATTGCCCCTGGGAGACCAGGGTGGGTTTGTGGGGCTGAGTACTATCATGACCATCCCTCAAGAGGCAAAGGGGATGGCAGCATGCCCCTGTCTTCCTGCTCACCACAAGCCAGCCCTGAGGCCCTGCAGCCTGGAGGGACCTCAATGGACCTGAGGCTCCTCAGGGCACCACAGGCTCCCTCTGCTTCTGGGCCAGAGCATGTCTGGGTGCTGGGGGCAGAGGAACCCCTGCCACCTGCTGAACCAGCTAATGTAAATCAAACTTACATGGGAAAAGAAAGAAACTGAGATCCCAGAGTTTCCTAAGGATTAGC